AGGAAATCTCAGGTGTCTTAGTCTGCATTCTGTTGCAATGACTGAATACCACGATCAGTTTATAAACAATAAAGGTAAGGATGGTCCTGTAACACAGTGGTTAGGTACAGCACAGGGAAGGCTAGATCTCGCATGGCCAGCTGGGTTCGAATCCTTGCTTAGTTGACTTCATGCCAGGCGTGGACACACATGCCCAGAATCCTGACGGGATGGAGGATTAGAGGAAAAAGGATTATGCATGACCAGGCCCCATGAGAGGTACTTTCTCTTTCTTTCATATGTGACCATGTACCTGCTAACATTTAACAAGAAAAGAAAATAAAACAAGGGAACCAGCAGTTAGCGTAATGGCTATGTCGCTGGACTCCCACGTAGTTGACCGCGGTTTGTGTCCCGGACCGGTGGCTTAAAACTCACGCCAGGATCCTGTGCGTGCGTGCCCAAGATCCCGACAAGAGAATGGAGGAGAAGGGATTGCGGCGTGACCATCCCCTCTGGGGAGTGATTTCTCGCTTTCTGTCTCTATGTCTCTCTCTGTCTGTCTGGTGAGCACACGCACCCTATAGCAAAAACCTCTCAAAACAAAACAAGAATAGAGGTTTACTTAGCTAATGGTTCTGGATACTGGGAAATACTCTACCCTAGTCCCAGCATCTAGAGAAGGCCTTCCAGCTGAGTCATGACGTAAGGAGGCATCGCAGGGAGAGTAGTGCGTTTCAGCTCAGGACTCTCTTCTTAGGAAGTCACCAGTCCCACTTGACAAACTTCTCTAATGTTAATCACCTCTCAAAGGGCCCCATCTCTAAATACCATCAACATCTGTATTTGGGGATTAAGTTTCCAAAACATGAAGTCTGGGGACACATTCACACAATAGCACCAGGAATAAAAGTCCTGGCAAAGTTGACCAGCAGGGGCTCACCTTCTTCCTTGGAAGTGCCTCTTTCTCTGGTGACTTTGAGGACTCGTATCCTTAGGGAGGGCTCCTGAGCTTCTGTTTGTTTCTTTTTCTTTGTCATCATGTTCCTATTCTCAGCCCTCACGCAGAATCTGTCTCAAATGAGGAATGATGAGGACTTGTACTCAAAGGCAATGGTAGAAGGAAGGGAGAAGGGGAGGAGAGAGGAGGAGGAGGAGAAACAAGAGAGGAGGGTATATGATCCATAGACTAGGTCAATGTTTACATGTAGAAGATGAGAGGGAAGAGAAATAGAGGATATTCCCAGGTTGGGCCCCTGGGTAATATTAGCTAATATTTGTGTCTAATTGGGATTCTCTGGAGAAATAGAACCAATAGGTTTCTATAGCTATATAAGAGTAAGAGAGGATTGAGGGGCCGGCAGGTGGTGTCGTGGTTAAGGGCATTGGACTCCCATGTGGTCAACCATGGTTTGAGTCCTGGACCCAGTGGTTTACTTTCTCTCTCTCTCTCATACTCTGTTCCTCTCTGATCAAATTAAACTAACTAACTAAATAAAGTTAAATAAAATAGTCTCTTTTTTGAGGGGGGAGAGTTTTTGCTATAGGGCGCATGCTCTTGCCAGAAAGAGAGATAGAAAGTGAGAAATCACTAGAAATCACCCTCCAGGGGGTATGGCCACACTGCAATCCTTTTTCCTCCATTCTCCTCCTGGGATCTTGGGCACACACCCACATGTGCCCAGCTTGAGTCCAAGCCACCAGGTCTGGGACTCAAACCGCAGTCCACTACATGGGAGTCCAGCGACATAGCCATTGCTCCAACTGCTGGTCCCTCTTAACATTTTTTTATTTTGATTTATTAAAGCTAAAACTGAAATCTTGAAATCTTACGGCAGTTGAGTCCCACACACGCTGCAGATCCTGGGATCGTGGTACAGGGACTCCTCACTCGAGTTCTGGTCCTCCAACTAGGTGATTAAGGGAACGCGTGGAGAAGCAAGGCGCTCGAAGGCGGGTATCTGTGTCGTGG